CTTCTCAAAGCAGCGACCAGGAGCAGCTCCCAGCTCAAAGACCAGATCTCAAAGGGGGGCCAGGGGCCCCAGAAATGTCTCTGAGCTCCAGCAGAACCCCACGTCCAACTCTGTGCCATCTCTCTATGTCCCTGGCTCCAGCCTCTCGGGATGGAAACTCCTGAGAACTCCCAGGGAAGTCTGGGGGTCGCCCCCATCACCCTTCACTTGCATCGACATTCCTGTCTGTTCACAGCCAGACTCCACTCCTCAGCATCCCCGGGACGTCGTCTTACGCTCAGCGTGTCCAGAGCCCTGTCCCTTGTCTGTTCTGCTTCGCTTGGACACTGACTTCTCTGCCCTCATCGCCCATCTAGTTAGTCGCTGGGGCAGAAAGTATCCTAGCAAATCCCCTTCAGGTCCTTGTGAGAGAACGCTTCTACCTCCTCCTGCCGGCCCACCCCACCCCCACCCCCGTTTCCTCTTCCACGTGCCCACTGCTCTGCTGTGTGCCACTGTTGTTCTTGGCTAGCCTCACGCTCTGTCCCCTGAGCCTACCCAGCCCCCTCCACGGCCGGCCCTCTGCGCCTGCCCTCAGTTCAGGCTCTGTCTCAGTCCCCAGCACGATGGTGCGCGGCTCAGCTCTCCCAGGAAGTTGTATCTCACCAACCATCATTGCACAGCCACACCTGGGGCAGCCCAGCAGCACCCATGGGACTGTCCTTTCTGTCCAAGATCTGGGGTCTAGTGGTGAGACTAGACCAGGTGAGGCTGAGAAGGATGATGGAGGAGTGGGGGGGAGAGGGCAGGTGGCCACAGCCTGGGATCCCGAGGAAAAAATGCTTTGCCAAGTATCAGCGCTTTCCCTGTGAGTGCCCGCAGGAAAGCACTGCGTGTGTGTGTGTGTGTGTGTGTGTGCGTGTGTGTGTGTGTGTGTTCATCTAGGTGTGCCAGAGTACTCACAAGTGCTCATATGCTTGCGTGCTTTGTATGTGTGTTTGGTTTCATGACTTTGAAAACCAGCCAGACCTAGTTTGGGAGCCAGAAGTTCCCTTCTCTCCTGGGGGTGCCCTTTGCGGGTTGTCTGAAATGGCAGCCACTCCCTGTTGGGTAGACCGAGGCCAACAGAGCCACCCTTGGGAGCTTCTGGAGAGCACTGTGGAGAGAGGCAAGTGATGGGGAGGATACCCGGGCAGGGGCACTCGTGGACTCAAGAGCTGTCTTGGCTGAGGGAGGGGAGCAAAGGATGCATGCATAGGTAGGACAGGAAAGGAAGGGAGAGGAGGGAGGGAGGGAGAGAAGGGGGGAGGGAGGGAGAGAGAGAGGAGGGAAGAGAGGAGGGTAGGAGAAGAGAAAGAAGGAGAGTGGAAAGGAGAGGGAGGAGGAGGGGACGACGGGAAGGTTGGGGTCGCCGGTACCCAAGTGCCCTCCCCGCCCCGCCCCTCCCGCCTCCCGCCGCTGGACCGGTCACTGGAAGGCTCCTCTCGGCCGGGCGCAGTAGCTGTGGGTGCGGAGCAGAGGCGATCGGGGTGTCCCCGGGCCCGGGAGGAGTGGCGTCTTGCCCCAGCCCCGCTGCGCGAGGGCCAGGCGCGGGGACCGGGACTGGGCGGCGGGGGGACCTGGACCTGGGCGCGCGCGCCACCCGGGCCAGCGGGCGCCGTCCGCCCCGAGGGGGCTGCCACGTTCCCCGGGCATTTATCACGCACCCAATTACACTGTTAATTGGCGAGTTCCTGAAATCAATTAATTCGCAAATTTTTTCCAATTACAGATGCTGATAAATCACGGGGGCGGCGGCGGGGGCCGGCGGGGCGGGCCGGGGCGCGGGGCGCGGGGCGCGGGGCGCGGCTGCCCTTGAACGCCTTTGCCGGCCGCGGACTGTCAGCGCGCCGGGCGCGCCGGGGCCCAGACAGATAAAACCATCGACCCGTCGCCGCCAGCGCTTCGGCTTTATCGATCCGACGGGAATTTCACTTGCTGTGCAGATCCCGCTGTCCGGCTGTCAGACGTCGGGGTGGGGGGGGGGGGGGGGGGGGGGGGGCGGGGGGCGTGCCAGGGGTTCGGGGCGCTGGGCCTGGACGTGAGGGGCACGGAAGTGCGGGGGTGGGGAGGTGGCCTGGGGGGTGGGGAAAAGAGGGTGGGGGACACCAGAGAGATTGGGTGGGATGGGCCCAGCGACTGGCGGGCTGTAGCCTATGGGTGCCCTGGGCAGTGCAGGGTGGGCGGGTCAGGCCCAGCTGTACTGTGACAGCCACCAAGGAGGCAGAGGGCTGGGATATAGTTCTCCAGACTCGGGGTGTGTGCGTATGGGGGTGGGGGGTCGTGCTGGTTCCCCCACCTCCACTCTGTCCTCTTTGCAAAGGGGAAGTCTCCACAGCAAGCAAATTACCCAGAAACCCTCCCGATGGCCAAGGTGGGGAACTCAGGGGTCAGTTAGGGGTCTCTCCCTGCCCTAGTTTGGGGTGGGCTCCAGCCAGGTCCCCCATACGGGTGTATGAAGTCTTTACCCTTTACAAGGCTGAGCAACCCGACCGAAGTCACGGGACCCCTTTGGACCGCAGCTTTCTCATCTGCAAAACGGGCACTCCTAGTGATTAGCTACCTCCAAGGGTTACCGTGAAGATTGAATAAATCGGTAGCCTGTAGAGTCGGCTGTCACGTTACTGGGGAACTCAAGTGGCCCGATGAGACACCTATACGTGGAGGAACCGAGGCCCACAGCCATGGGAGCAGGGCGTCATCCTGGAAATGGCTCCTGTAGTCTCAGCTGAATGTGCAGCGTTGGCTGACATCTTGACTGCAGGCTCCTGAGAGACTGAGCCAGAAGCCGAAATGCCCACAGCAGCCCCATCAAGTCATACTGCCTGATTGATGGCCCGTAGAAACAGATGATAATAGTTCTTTTTAAAAATATGGGGGATGGCTGGAGTGATAGTACAGCAGGTAGGGCATTTGCCTTGCACGCGGCTGACCCGGGTTCAATCCTCGGCAGCCCATATTGGTCCCCCAAGCACCACCGGGTGTGAAAAGCCAGGAGTAATCCCTGAGCATCGCTGGGTGTGACCCAAAAAAACAAACAAAAACATGAAATTAAAAATATGAGGGGGGTGTGCTGGAGCAATAGCACAGCGGGTAGGGCGTTTGCTTTGCACGCGACTGACCCAGGTTCGATTCCCAGCATCCCACATGGTCCCCTGAGCACCGCCAGGAGTAACCCCTGAGCATTGCTGGGTGTGACCCAAAAAGCAAAAAATATATATATATGGGGGGGGCTGCAGAAAGAAGGTCCAGGGGTTAAGGCATTTGCCTTGCACAGGCCTGATCCAGGTTCAAATCCTGGGACCACATCTGGTCCCCAGAGCACAGAGCCAGGAAGAAGCACTCTTCACAGCCAGACGTGGCCCCAAAGCCAAATAACTAAATAAAAATTATTTATTTATTTATTTATTGCCACACACAGTAGTGCCAGGGGGATCAGGCAGTGCTTGAATTGAACCTGGGACTCCTGCATACAAGGGATGTGCTCCAGCCCATTGAACAATCACTTGGGCCCCTTTAGATGTTATTTTTATGTTACCAGATTGTGGGGATGGGAGGCAATTTGTACCACAGCAACAGCTGATACTCCTTCCTTCAAAATTCAATTCAGATCTCACTCCCTCACCACCTCCCCTCTGAGCATCTGACGGCCTGGACCGACCATCGTTCCACTTTGGAAGCATGATTCACTTCTGAATCCCCCTGAGCCCCGCGGGGGGTATTGATGTGAGGGTTGAAGGAAGGAGAATCAGTCCAATTTGATGACTTGAACAGTGGGACGGAGGAGTGGGCCAGGCTGTTGCCCTGTTGCCCATGATGGCCACAACCCTGGCTCCCGTTTCACATGAGGGACCGGAATAGGAGGGTGTGACATGTGGGGTGAACGTCCCCTCCTTTGGAGTCTGCCTGCTCGGGAGAGGACGGTGGAAGTGGTGGTCGTGAGTGACTGCTGAGACTCGGTTCTAAGAAGGGCTCTGGCTTCCATCTTGCTGGTTGGAATGTTCGCAGTAGGGCCCTGAGCTCCCGGGTGAGCCGTCTGTCTGTCTACCCCAGAGCTGCTATCTGGCGAGGAAGCTCAGCTCACAGGGAGAAGGGGCTTGGGCTGGGACTACAGCTGGGGTTCCAGTGGGCAACTGCATCCCCCACCCCAATCATCAGAAGCTCCAGATAACCCCCGCTAGTAGCCACAGGGTCTTCCCAGTGGGCCCCAGACCCCTAGACAAACACACGGCTCTCCCCTCTGAGATCAGCATAACATTCTGATCCCAAGATTTCACCAGCAAATGCAATGGTTGCTTTGAACCACAATGATTTGGGATCTCACACCCTTCTCTGTCCTCTCTATGAATAAGGTCGTGGGAGGAGGTTCTTTCCGGACCTTCTGGCTGGGACAAGGGGGTTGGGGTATTGCCATGGGGGACAGGTCTGAGCTCCTTCTCAAGACTGTCACCTTTCAGAGGTCAGAGAGAGACAGACAGAGAGAGAGAGAGAGAGAGAGAGAGAGAGAGAGAGAGAGAGAGAGGAGAGATTACAAGGGTGAGGTGCTAATCTTGCAAGCAGCCAACTCCAGTTCGATCTCCAGCACCGCAAATGATCCCCCAAGCCCTATTAGGAGTGACCCCTGAGAAGAGTCAGGAGTAAGCCCTGAGCAAAACAACAACCAAAGACAGTCCTCTTCACATTTGGAGATTGATAGAGAAGCGACGCTTACTATGAGTGGAGGGAGGGGGTTGTTCGGGCCACACCCTGTGGTGCTCAGGAGTGACCCCTGGTGGTTCCTGGGAAGACCTTCTCCGGGGCTCCGCGCAGGGTTACCTTCCTTTGATTTCCAAACACAGACCAAGAACCGAAAGGCAACGCCACTCAGCGCGGGAGATCTGAGCACTGGGGGCAGAGTCGGGGAGCATGGAATGGGCTCTGTCTTCACTCCAGGGCCAGGGCTCTTGGCACCGGCAGGCAGACTCCCCTGGCAGGTGGCTTACCTGGCGGGCAGCTGTGCCAGCTGTTCCAGTTCTTGCTCCATATGCTCTTGCAACTCGCTGGGCCTGAGCAGGACCTGGCAGATGGGGCAGATAGGGGCCTGGCTGTCAAACAAAGCTGCTGCCTTTTTCTTGCCTGGGGAGGGAAGAAGAGACAGACATATCAGCGGGGTCCGTCTGTGGAGGAAACGCCGCACCCCCAGCCTGTGGCTGCCTCTGGGGGCTTCTGGGCTAGTACAGGGGTGAGCCTGATGCCTCACAGCCTCGAGCATCCCTCTTGGAGGAGCTTCCGAGTTTGTGGCCATGCCAAAGACGCCTCAGTCTCTGGGGACACCATCAGTGCTCAGAGCCATCAACGCTCATCCTGCCCTTTCCCACAGGTGGGTGAGTGAAGGCCTTGGCTTAGAGTCACGCCCTCCCCACCCTGCCTCCCCAAATCGGGAGCGGGGAGAAAGGGGAGGAGAAAAGGAAGTTCTGGGAGTCATGCCACAAACGTGGTCAGTTTTGAACCAGGCCTAGCGTGGGAACTCAGAATATGTTCAGATCTGGCAGGTCCTGGCTGGGAAAGACCGAGAAGCACCTGGTGACTGAGAGGCTAGCAGTCTCTCCCACGACCACTTTTTCTCCTGACTTGCCCCCATGGCTCTTCTTGTTCTGCTGCAGAACCCCCTTCCTTCTGATGGCCCCATCACCCCCTTTGGCCCTGTGGATTCTAGAATCTGTGTCTCTTCCCCAGGTCCCACTCCAGAATCCTACAGCCAAGTGGTCTGACGACGTCCCAGCCTGGACACCACATGAGCGTCTGAGACACAACCGTCAACCTCTCCTACACTCCCCACCTGCTTCTCCTTCAGCAGTGCTTGTGCTCTGACCGGGCCTGCCCCTTCCATCAGCCAGGCCAGTCCCCTTGGCCTCACTGGGCCCCGTACTTCTTGTGAGCCACCATGCCTGTCTCTTTTATTTATTGATTTTTTGCTTTTTTGGGTCACACCCAGCGATGCAAAGGGGTCACTCCTGGCTCTGCACTCAGGAATTACCCTGGTGGTGCTCAGGGGACCCTATGGGATGCTGGGAATAGAACCTGGGTCAGCCGCGTGCAAGGCAAATGCCCTACCCACTGTGCGATCGTTCCATCCCCTCATGCCTGTCTCTTTTGTTTCTCCAGTGCTCCTGGGATCTATGTTCTCCCCGCTGGGGTCTCGGTTCCTCTCCCCTGGCTAATCACATTGGTCTTGTGTGTACTTCACGGATTCTCAGTTCTCTCTCTGAAACCCCCTTCAGAAAACATACAGAGGTGCGGGCACAGAATGGGCTTGTGATCTGGCTAAGAGCTGAACTTCGTTGTCCTTTGTCTCTCCTCTCCTACTGATGCTAGCCAGAAGGTACCACGTAGGAAAGACACTGCAGCTGGCCTAGTGCCACCGCCTGTAGGCCTTGCCACTCTTCCAAGCAAAGCTCTTTCGATGTCTCATTCATTACAGATGTGGGATCGAGAGGTCTTAATCATCGAGAGACGTTCCTGCCTGTTTGTGTAAACCCTGACCCTGGAGAGGAATTCTTCGGCGAATTCCCGGACTTTTCTTTCAGCTTCCTTTCACTGGTGCCCAGAGAGGCTCAAAAATCAACTTTCAGAGAAGCAAAAGCCAGTGAAGACCTAGGCGGTTGCTTGAGTAGCCTTAAGTATTATCTGGTGCATGAGGTCTGACGGGGTGGTCAGCTTTTCTGGGTTGGGGTCAGGGCTGCCGAGTTCCTGAGTCCTTCCTCCGAGGGCCCTGGCCTCCTTGTTCCAAGCAGGCTCTTCCGGCACCATCTGCTTTGCTGTCACAACCTTTCACTTTGCCAAGTGTGGCCTCACAATAAGGTGTCTTCCTGGCTCCCAGCTCCAGGAGCAGCACTGACAGATCCGCAGAAGGGTCCCGCACGGCCGTTTCCTCTGCGGCTAGAGTGGCAGGTGTCAGTATGGTCCCGTCTGTCCCCCCACCCCTGCTGTGTTCCCTATAATTTTATATTGAGGCCTGTGGTCAGGACTCAGGTTTTACTGCACTAACGACATGGCCTGCCCAGGTTTAATGATAAAATCCATACTCTGGCCCTGGGCCTGCTCCTCGTTTGCATAATTCCCAGAATACAGCTCCCCGAAGCTTTTGACCTGGGCCATTACAGTGGCCATAAAATGGGCCATAAAACCACTAGGGATGGCCGAGAGGAGGGGTCCACGGTCTTTGGTGGTGGGGGTGTGTGTTCCCTACCCCCTGCTCTTCTTTGGCCTGGAAGGAAGCCTCTTCAGGCTCTTCCTGGCCACCGTTCCCAAGAACGGAGGCGAGCCCACCTCCGGCTGGGGGGCCCGAGGAAATCCTTCGTCTCACTGCCCATCTCCAGCACCACAGGTAGGCAGACCCAGCCCATCAGTAGCCAAACCACCTCCTCTGGGAGCACCCCTCACCCCTGCCCTCCAGCCCCCTGCACCCCAGCCCTTGGCCACAGGTGGTCCGGGCCCGGTTGCATGGCATCCAGCTTCGCCAGGCCTGGCTCCCCGGGGAGGTCAGGAGCCCCGCCGAGCAGCCGAGAGGGGACACGTGGGAAGCAGGAGGACGGGGACAGGGACTGGGACGGGCTGTCAGTGCTAAAGATGATGAATGGGGAGGTGAGGCGGGAGGCCCGGTGTTATCGGCGGAGGACGGCGGGCGCAGGGCGCGCTGCGCTCCTGCTAATCCCGGGGCGCTGCCTCAGCCCTTGCACTGATAACGAGGAAATGGGACTGACAACAATTTTTAGCTGAGACATTCTTCACCAAAATGCCAGGCGGCCGGAGGTCTGACAGCGCCTGATTGAGTGTGTGAGTGTGCGTGGGGGCCGCCCGCAGCCCCCTCCTGGCCCATGCAAAGATGGATCGCTCATTCTGCCTCCCGTCCACATTCATTACCGCAGCCCTCCGCCCCCCCCTGCGCCGCGCTGCCACCTCCACTTCCCCGCTGCCTGGCGCCTGCCTGCTGCAGGTATGCCCGGAGCAGGCGAGGGAGGGGCCGGGGCCAGGACCCCCTTCCACGCAGGCACGGGGCACCTGGGCTTCAGAGCCGGAAGGTGACCTCAGGGCCAGGCCCTGCCAGGAGGCTCCCCGACTTGGTGACCTCCCGCGGGACCCACCTTCCCCCAAACGGGTGGCACCCACAGGAAGGGGCAGGTTGTGGCCGAGATGGCGCGGAGGTCAAGCCAGGTCACCTTTTCCTGACCTGGGGCTGGCTCCCACCAATTCAGCCCTCAAGCACTGGACCTCAGGGGCTTGGGGTCCCAGATCAGCCCTCTGCTGCCCCCCTCTGTTGGGAGCTGCTGACCGGGGGAGCAGGGCCTCCAGGGCCGCTTGGCTGCTTCTGCTCTGCTGTCTTCAGGGGGTAGAATGGACTCCTGAGAATGGGGCAAAGTGTTCCCTTTCCTCCCAGACCACCAGCCTGCTCTGGCCTGTAACTCCTCTTGGTGTGATTGTCTTGGGTTTCACTCGTTTGGGTTTGTCCTGGTCCTACGGCCTATGGGTTCGGTCAAACCTTTCTGGGTATGCAAGCAGCTGTACATGGGTAAATCCCAGCTGTAGAACATACAAGGCAGGGCCGGGGCCCGAGATAGCTCAACAGGCTGAGTGCATGAGCGCATCCAGGAGGCCCTGCATTCCAGCCATGGTCTCCTAGCACAGAACTGGAGGTAGCCCCCAAGACTGGCCAGGTGGGGACCACCAGCCCCCGCCAACAAAAACAAAGACAGGACTCTACAGCTTGGTGCCTGACTTAAGAATCATCACGACATCACGACCATCCTGTTGTTCGTCGACTGCCTCGAACAGGCCCCAGAAACGTCTCCTTCGTCCTAGCCCTGAGATTTTTTAAAGAATGTCATATTCAAGGCTCTTTCAGGGTTAGGAGAATGAGACCCATCATTGCTACTGGTATTTGGCATATTGGGTACGCCACGGGGAGTTTGCCAGACTCTGCCGTGTGGGCAGGTGACATTCGGTAGCCTGCCAGTTTGTCCAAAGTAGGAATGAGAAAATAAGATGTCGCGCGGCCGCGGTTCCGGGAGCTGGGTTTTATAGTCTCTGAGTCTTGACCGTTGATGGGATTACACGGCGCCAGGGGGCCAGTTGGTGGGTGTGACCCCTGCCTACTGGAATTTGGAGGATCTGGGTGGAGGATGCTCAGCCCCGAGTAGGCTTGGAGATCTCATCCCCAGGACCCGCATGCCTTTGTTCCTCTGCCAGTACCTTCATGCGTGTGGAGAGTGGTCTCAGCATGGTGGTGGCTGGTTCTGGAGTTTTAAGAATGGGGAGGATTAAAATGAAGGGATGGGGGCTGGAGAGATAGTACAAAGGTTAAAGCACTTCCCTTGCATGCTGCTGACCTGGGTTCAATTTCCAGCACTGCGTATCCCCAAGCCCTGCCATGAGTGACCTCTGAGCACAGAGCCAGGAAAAATTCGTGAATACCCTGGGTGTGGCACCAAAACCAAAACCAAACCAAAAAAGGGGTACAGGTAACCCTAGAGAAAATGGCAGTGGAGCTGGAATTTTTCACTAGTATATATATGTGCTTGTGTGCACATATATGTGGGTACCTTCCTCCCGCACCCCCATTAGCATGGCCTCTGTTTCCTCATGGCCAAGACATAGAACCTTCCAGCAGCACCCTGTGGAGGGGCTCCACATGGGACCTTGGGCAAATCACTAAACAAACAAACAACACTGTCCTCCCGTTGTTCATCGATTTGCTTGAGTGAGCCCAGTAACGTCTCCATTTTTTTTGTTTTTTTGAGACTTGTTGTTACTGTGTTTGGCATATTGAATACATCACGGGTAGCTTGCCACGCTCTGCTGTGTGGGCGAGATACTCTCGGTAGCTTGCCGGGCTCTCCGAGAGGGGCGGAGGAATCGAAGCCGGCTCGGCCGGGCTGGCTGCCTGCAAAGCAAACGCCCTATCACTGTGCTATCGCTCCAGCCCTGGTGTTCCTCTTGCATGGAACAAGGATAATAATGCCCAAGTCTTTGGTGAGGAGCCAGTTAAACCAGGGCTGTGGACAGTGCTGGGGAGCCATGAGTGTCTCTGGTAGGACATGGGCATAGTTTGGTTTTTGCCTATCCCCGTAGCAGACTAG